CTTCAAAATTTACAGTACCTCTGGATATCCTTTGTAGAACCCAAGTATTCCACAGAACACCCAAGTGTTCTCTGAAGCCCTAGAGCTTTTGGTGGGGGGAGGGGGGAAAGAGCAGTAGAGATACAAACATTAGAAATCTCCAAGCCATTTATAATCTATTTTGGGAACTCAGACTTCATCTGGTCACAACTGCTTCTCTGAGCAGTAGTTTCCCCACTTTCAAAAGGAGAAAGTTGATAGACTCCGGAAAACACCAAATCCAATGGCAACATTATTACCCTGCACGCTTTATGGTTAGATTTAGGGGAAAAAATCATAAAGGTTTTGCATTATAAACAGAGAAGAGCGCTCTCTCCCAGACTGCTATGTGATTGTCAGAGTCCTCACAGGGGCTACTGGTGACACGCCCCAGTCTCTGCTCTGAGACCAGGGTGCCCAGTCAGGTAGGAATGAAACTGCCGGCGGAGTGGTCGTCTCTTTTCCTTATCTTGACAGACAAAATCAAGTGGCAACGTGCACTACTTTCACATGGGAAGGACTTAGACATTTGATTTTAGAATGCCTCTGAATAAAATTTCAGTAGTCCTAACAGCCCATCTATTGAACATGTGTATATTCCTGAAATGCTCCTGCCACACACAGAGCTTACAAACTGCTCAGGTCCTGACTCTGAGCTATCATTTATGTGCAACGGTGAGAACTTCCCTGCAACCGGTTCTCTTTGGTTTCCCACAAATGTAATAGTTCAATATAAATCACAGAAGTTGGTTTTTTCATGATTTCAGAGAAACTTTTCCAATGAAAATAACCCAGGTCAGGTGCTAAGTGGAAGGGCCTCCCCTTCTCTTCATCTTTCCAGCTCCTTCTTGGACCACAAGAGGCTCACACGCATGCTCACGGCCCCCAGTCTGCCCGTCCAGGCTCTGCCTGTAGGCTACAAACATCTGCCCCTAGGCTTAGAGGTGAACATACAAGTGGCAGAATCTGCAACTAGGAGGAAGAGCCCATGCAGTTCCCAGTTAGTCAGGGAATTCCAATGTCCTGAGTGTGGTATGGGGTGGGGTGGGAGTGTCAGGAAGCATGTATCCTTGGCACTCTGGGTTCTGTGCCCCAGGAACTGATAGAGCTAGATAGAGCAGGGCCTGTGGAAACAACTCTTAGAGCATGAGACCCAGGCTGGGGGGCTTCTTTTCTTGCCTAGGTCTAAAGCATACAATGTTTCCACCCAAATCTTAATTCTACAACCTTTGAAGAAATAGGCACGGACAGCCTTTACTCTGTATGGGACATTCCCGTGCCTGATTGCATAGTGAGCAGCAAAAACCCAATAACCCCTGAATGACACCCAAGTGTCATGCCATGGCTGCCCAGTCAAGTCAGGCAGCTAAGGCTCACTTCAGCCTTATTAGTCCCTAATTTATCAGATGGTGACAAACTAAGTCATCTGGCCCTGTGTCCTAACAGCCTAGAGCTACAACTATAGTCCAGACTGAGGACTGGCCTAATTTCCACCAAAAAGACCAACATTTATGAAAAGAGTAATACAAACTTGTTTTCACTTAAAGATATAAAATAATAAAGATCTGAATATAGAGGGTTATACCTTAAGATGCCTGAAAAACCCACACAGCTAGAATAGCTATTTCTCAGTTGCTTCAGAAAAGATGCCTTTTCTTGTATACTGGCATATGAGAGTATACTGGCTTATAAATTATGGAGCAGTAGTCCAGGCTCTACCAGGTGATGACCTTAGAATTGAGATAAATACTGCTAACTTTAAAGTTTATTATTATGTGAGAACATGAAGCTAGCAATACAACCTTCTGTCAGTGGTCCAAACAGATATGTCATATATTTTGTATATACACATTGATCAACACAGATAGATAGCAAAAACATTGTCTAATATTTCATCTAGAGAATTTTAATTATCTTAGGAATCTGATCCCTCTTCTAAGCTTGCTCCAAAACCAAAACACAATGGATGAAAAGTATAGAATTATAGTCATGTCACATCTCTGATGTTTTCTGCTTAGGACAGGGAGTTCAATTCTTACACGCAATCTGCTCGTGAGACAGCAGTTAAGGATTCCCATACATATGACACACAAACTGTGAACTTGTGCAAGTGATCCTCTTACTGCTAACAGGAGATTGAGCTAGCTACAGCATGTAGCTTTCATGACTTTGAACACAGGTACCTGCAAATCAATCAATCTGGACAAGGTGCAAAATGGCATCAGACGTACTAAGGTATGTGCTCTAGTTAAGTCCTTCAGCTTAGTCCCACCAGGCAGCTATGTAGGAATATTGAAAAACACATCAAGTCAGACTCCCAAATGTATAGGATAACTCCTTCCTTATTCTTATTGTGACTCAAATGCTGACATTTGTCAATTTATTCATTAAAAGATATTTCCCTAAGTGTCTATCAAAATCAACAAGGCCCATATGTTAGGGCTGAATAAGATGCAGCATCTGCCTTCAAGGAACTTACGCCTGATAAATAAAACCTCAAAAATAACTAAAAACAAGATAGAAAACAGTGTTATGAAAGATATTAATGAGATGTTACTCTGGAAACATTGAGGGAGGAAGGAGGTACCAGACGGAACACTGCCATACGGCTTTGAAAGATAAGTAACGTATTAATGTTTCTCATAGACATACGATGTCAAGTTTTGAATCAGTTAACTTATAATTCCTTTTAACATTCCACAAATTGATTCTCATTTCCTGTATGACATAACCCACTAAAAAATGTGTATTTCCAGGAAGGGAGTGTAGTCTTTTTCTCTTTAAGAGATACTAAAAATACATACCAGTTCAGTCTGCAAAATTGAGTCCAAGTTTTTAATGTCACCATGTGTATGTAAATCAATACATCACTGTATAAATGGATTGTTTTTTCTTTAAATGGAAAAATATGAAACAGCAGGAAAATTTTCAAATGCAAAGCCCTATAGGAAACATAACTTTTATAACTGGCATTAACTCCAATTATCACTCTTTCCAATAAAGTCTGAATTGTTCCAGTGTCTTTCTCAGCTGCTAACATCTTTTACTTATATCACCACTGGCAACACAGAGCAGACAGCACAAACTAGATACGGAAAAATCACACATTTATGATTGTCCTTCCCCTTTTCTCTGTCAAATAATTTATCTACATTTTCTTGTTTAAACATACCAACTTTCAGCAAGAATGGAATGTTAATTGATGTCACACACAAGCTAGGCTATCATTCCTCAAACTTAATCAGTAAAAAAAAAAAAAAAAATCAAAACAAAATCCAACTGGGTTTCCGGTTCTTATTTATAGCTATTAGTGTTCATTTAGGGGGCTTAAAACAAAGTATCTGTCTCCAGTTACAGCTCATCCTTCCCTCAATTAATGTACCGAAGGAGACCAGTTCCTCCCGTCTACTCCCCTGATGACTCTTTGGATCACAAACCCTATTCAAGCTTCTCCCCAGGACCTCAAAATAACATGAGCAACAGCTTCCTAGGGAAGCCGGAAGCCTACCTCACCCTTCCCACTGGGGAAATACACAGACTCAGCCCTTTCTGGTGTGATTATGTAAGAATACAGGCCTTGTCTGGCCCCTCCCAAAGCTGAGACCTAGCCTTTGAACCTCAGCTCCAGCCTTCTCTTCTCTAAAGCAATGGTATATGCCGGGCAAAAGGGAAACAGGTAGGATTTATCTTTCAACAACAGCAACATACTCCAATTTTTCTATGAAAGTTCTGATACCTTAGGAAAAAGCCATAATGTTGGGAAAGAAAATAGTCTTACATGCCCGGGTCATTGTACCCATGTTTTGATAGGACAGAAGTGGGTTAATGGCAGAACACTTTTATAAACTGGATTTTTTCCTAAGGCAAGTTATCTGTCTCAGAATTTCTAACTCTCCTCTTGGATTTCTTGTTTATCAGCTAAAGCACTACTGGAATTCGGGGAAATAATTTTTTTGTATGCAGAATGTTAGAATATTAGTCTGTGTGAGGCATGTACACAAAATGCCAACAGCACCCGCCCTATCCTCCAAGTCATGGTGATGAACAAAGACTGCCACTCACTTCTCAGTGACAGGGCAGTGTTGCCCCTGATTTGAGAACCACTTCAAAGCTAAAGAGGGACTACTCGGACTCATTTTAAGGTTTGATTTACTGTTTATAATTTACTCAATTTACCATATGTAAGCCATGAATTTACTGTATACAAAATAGGTCTTTCAAAGATAAGGGTATTACTTCCAGGCTGCTCTTTTTATATTTTGGGTACAAAATTTCATCTTTGAAACAAAGAAATATAAGGAGAAATAGAAGCTAATCAAAGCCAGTAGCTACTATGGTTCTGCATTTGAATGATACAAAGAATAGGTTAGCATAAGCATCAGTCTTTGCCAAAACAGGGCTCCCAAGTTCACTTTCTTTTTTGTGTGTGTATATTCCAATAAAACTTCATTTACAGACAATCTTTCTATTTTGGCTTGGATGAAGCCTTCACCTGGCAGATGGACCTATTTCTTCATGTGTCATCCAAATTCACTGTAAATTTAATTTCTTCTTTACACCCCACAGCTTCAGAGGACTGCTTTAACACACCTTTAACATCGCAGTCACAGTCTGTTTCTTAAACCAGGACACTGCAGACAGGCCATCACTACTAGTACTTTCTTTTTCCTTCTCTGATCTGGGGCTGTGTGTTCCCCAGGCAGCTCTGAAAGCAGTGGTCATGGCAAAAAATTTGGAAACTTTCTGTCTGATTCTCTTCTAGTGGCTAAGATGCAACTGGCTATTTCTATAATGGGTCCTGTCCACAAGCAAACCCAGCTTATATTTTTCTGTAGCTATAAACAGAATGCTACATACAAAAATGCACAGATATTCCATCCACCAAATAAACTATGGGCAGTAAAAACATTGGGCAAAGAAGAGGAGCAATTTGTCATTCAAAATACCTATGTTTAATAAAAGGACAACACTCTGTCACTCACCACTGAGGTAAGAGCCATCTGAAAACTGTAGATGCGGGCAAGGCCAAAGTCAGCCAGTTTTATTTGTCCACTGCTGGTCACCAGAATATTTTGTGGTTTTAGATCACGATGCACTACTCGGTGTGAATGAAGAAAGTCCAGGCCTCGGAGAAGCTGGAACATCATATCCTAAATTAAAAAAAGAAAGAAAGAAAAACGAATGGACAGTCAAAAGAGGAATTCAACATCTGCTGTAACCTGAATCCTTAGCACCTAGTCCAGTGCTTGGCACAGAGTAGGCTCAGTGATAAATATTTGATAAATATTAGCTCAGTGAATAGATTTGTCACCCTTCTTGCCTCTCCAATTTCTCATTCTCAAGAACACTACAAAAAATTTCCTTCTCAGCTTATATTTTATTAATGAGAGGACAACTTAAAGATAGGTTTAGATGGCATAAAAAATGTTTGGAAAGGATATATTATACCAAACTGCTATTAGTGCTTCATGCTAAGGAGATGAAGCAGGAGGTGGTAAGAAGGGGAGTTTATTTCATAAACTTCTATATTGTTCAATATGTAATTTCAACAATTACAATTTAGTGATGAATAATATTGTTAATAGTGGTTATTATTTTTATAGCACTTAGTAACAAACACCTTCTACTTAATAACTCATTTACTACAACACTGGAGTAAATAATGTTAGCACAGCATTTTACAGGTCAAGAAACCGATACATGGGCTTGGCGCCTGTGGCTCAAGAGGCTAAGGCGCCAGCCACATACACCTAAGGTGGCAGGTTCGAATCCCCAGCCCGGGCCTGCCAAACAACAATGACAGCTGCAACCAAAAAATGGCCAGGCACTGTGGTGGGCGCCTGTAGTCCCAGCTGCTTGGGAGGCTGAGGCAGGAGAATCACTTAAGCCCAGGAGTTGGAGGTTGCTGTGAGCGTGATGCCACGGCACTCTACCCAGGGGGACAGCTTGAGGCTCCGTCTCAAAAAAAAAAAAAAAAAAAAGAAACTGATACATGGAAGTAGGTCCGGTCAGCAGCCCAAAGTCAGAAGACTAGGAGGAGATAAGAGCTTTGATTTAAATAGGAATCTGGAAAACTTGGATTAAATTCCCAGCATACTGCTTTATCAGGTCAATGAAGGAACAAAGATGTAAAATGAGGCAAGCCCTTTAACTTCTCTGAGTCTCAGTTTCTGTCTATAAAATGGGAAAGTAACAAAACCTACTCCATGGGATCATTGTAAAGCCCTTATGTGCTTTACTTACACTTAAAGCATTGGAAAGAACAACAGTAAGTACTCAATAAAGGGCAGCTGTTAATGCCATCATGACTAACCTGCATAAAGCAGGGGCCCATTCAGAAAATAAACTAATAGCAGATCTTTTCCCAGTTTTATGACCAAGAAAATTAGAGACAAGATTTAAAACCCACAAAGAGTGTCTTAGAAGTAAGGACTTAAGATGTTGGTCATACCATGATATTCTGAAATCTGGGGTTAATAAGAGTGACCTACCTCCGAAAATATTGCAAGAATGACGTGTACAAGGAAGGATGGAGGTATTTTGTTCATACCAGGGTTAGAAAAATAATTAGGAAACATCATGGACTTCAGAGCTAGAGCAGTTTGTGAGGACACATTTACTTCACCAGGTGGACCACAAATCCCTTCTCAACAAGAACAGCATTATTTGGTTATTGGATTATGGTTTTGGTTATTCCTTTAGAGCTGTGAGTTGTCTTTATATCCTAGCTTGCTTAAAACCAAACCCTTAGTGTTTCCATCTATAATAAGAAAATAATGCTTACTTTTCATAATATTAAGGGGTTTAAATAAAGTAATGTATGTAAAATGGTAGTGCAGTTTCTGATATACAGTAAACATTCAACAAATGATAATTATTAGGATGATTGTTGCCAAGATCAGTATCTCTAGGGGCGACAGAGTCATAAACAACTAAGAAAATGTGGCCAGTGCTACAAGGTCGATGTGAACAACGTGCTAAATAAAGAGGCACGCAGTGACACCGGTATTCTGGAATCAGTTTTGAGATCGCCCTACATGGGTATTCTGAACTGGCAGGGGTGTTTACCTTCCAAGCATCCAAATGTGTGAAAATGAAACACAAAATGTTCAGGAAAGTTGTCTTCTGTGGTGGCACATAGTCTTTATTGGAAACACATGCACACAACTTGTAAGCTCCGAATTTTAAAAAGCATGACTAACAAAGTATTGTCATGCTGGTCTGTCATCTTTAGCTTCCTATACACTAACCATCACCCACTTAAAACAGCCCAACAGTAAATCTGTATCGTTCCTACTGCAGTGTTCAAACAATTTCAGCGGCCAGTTAGGAGTACACAAATCAAACAATGTGAACTAATTCATAATAAAGCCTACTGAAATTTATAAAATGCCTGAACTATAGCATAAAAAAGAAACATGTATTGTTGGCCAGGCTCATGTTGGCCAGGCTCAGTGTAATCCTAGCACTCTGGGAGGCTGAGGTGGGTGGACTGCTTGAGCTCACAAGTTCGAGACCAGCCTGAGCCAGAGGGAGACCTTGCCTCTAAAAATAGCCAGGTGCTATGGCGGGTACTTATAGTACCAGCTACTTGGGAGGCTGAGGCAAGACAATTGCTTGAGCCCAAGAGTTTAAGGTTGCTGTGAGCTATGATGCCATGGTACTCTACCAAGGGCAACAAAGTAAGACTTTGTCTCCAAAAAAAAAAAAAGAAAGAAACATGTATTGTTTTTAATTTGTGTATACATTTATATAGCACAAACTATACTTTTCTTAATTATAAATTAATTAAAATGCCTATATATACATGCTTAAGGCAGAAACAAAGTTTTTTTTTTTAAATCCAGAGAAAAAAGTAAAGTCATTCAAAATAACGCTCAGAAAAGAAAAAGTGAGCACCAGTTAGTGGCAATCTATGTTTGTCAAAACTCACTGAATTGTACACTTTAAACGGGTTTATTTTGTTGTGTGTACATTATACCTCAATAAAGTTTATTTTAAAAAAAACAACAAAATCTCACTCAGAGAACAGAGAAAGCTTCCCTGTTAAGTAATTTTTGTGTCTTTCTAGTCTATCTTTTAAAAATTACACGGATTATTTAATTTATATGAAGAAGTGTAACATATGTTATTTTTAAATAAAAATGGTTATTATTCTGCACACATTTTTTAATGGCTCTTTCAAAAACATTTAACAATTCATTGCAGATATTTTGCCAATTCTACAAAATAACTTTTATTATGATGTGATTTACAGAAAAGGTTGCATGGTTTTCCTCCCTGGGACATGAAACAATCACGATTATTCAGTTTTAGTTGTGTATTTTAGCACTTATACTACATACTATGGGTCTGGTTCTCCTGTGTTCAAAGGCCAGAGTGGACATTAAATGACTTGTTAGCATCCTATCAAAGTGCAGGTTAAGCAGTATGAATCCCCAAGACTGCACTAACATCAACTTCATGTAAATGATGCCTCAGCAGTTCTCAAACTGTGGGTCGTGACCCATGGGTACTATATTAAAGGGCTGCAGCATTAGGAAGGTTGAGAACCACTATTATAGATCTAAGTTGGTTCTTAGGAATCATCATTCCTTAGATTTTACCAGGCTAGTCAACAAAGTGGATTTTCTTTTAAAAGAGCTTGGAATATATGATGTAAAAAACAAAATCTTGCCAAAAATCTTATTACCTCTAGTAATTCAACTGTGAGTTAGGTTGATGAACAAACATTATGAACCTGTAGTAAGTGTAATTTGGGGATCTCCTCCTCAGCCTTTAACCATCCTTCATTAGAACACCTCATCTCAGAGGTGAAATACCTTAAATAATACTTTGACATTAGCCCCATCAGGAACTTTGGTCCCAAATAAGCATAAGACCTGGTCCCAATTCCAGAGAATGATATAAATAAACTACAACATTATATGAGAAAAAAAACCTTGCATTCAAAAATCGCAAGAAGTGGCTCAGCGCCTGTGGCTCAAGTGGCTAAGGCACCAGCCACATACACCTAAGGTGGTGGGTTCGAATCCAGCCCGGGCCTGCCAAACAACAATGACAGCTGCAACCAAAAAATAGCCGGGCATTGTGGCAGGCACCTGTAGTCCGAGCTACTTGGAAGGCTGAGGCAGGAGACTGGCTTGAGCCCAGGAGTTGGAGGTTGCTGTGAGCGTGATGCCACGGCACTCTACCCAGGGGGACAGCTTGAGGCTCTGTCTCAAAAAAAAAAAAAAATCGCAAGAAGTATTTAGATCAAAGACATTTCAAATAATTCTCTACTGAAGCTTATTATCTGTTCTGTCTCAGTTAATGTTTTGTGAGCCACACTCTTAAATTAGCGCCTCAAGATTTTAATCTAAATTAATCTGTCCCATAGAACACAAATATTTCACAGTAACCCTAGTGATGCAATGCAACGAAACTACAGATTTTCAGTTAAACACAGGTTTAAGAGTTTCCCTTTTTATGTTACAAAGCACAGTCCTGGTAGGAAAGGTTTGCACATCTAGTCACCCGATGATAAACAGTCACTTGAGGTCTTCATCGTATCTTTCTGAAACACAGGACTGGAAAGCATGTTTCAACAGGACACCACTGCGGAATGAAGTCTGAAGTATGGCTCCCAGCAATTTCAGGTGAGGCTTTATCTTTGGCAACTCCCCTAAAAGAAGACTCTGGCCCTCAGTCTGAACACCGGAAATCCTTGAGAGTCCTATCATTGTTTCCCTTGGGTGGTGTAGAGTGCTAATCCTTGTATTTCTTTAATACCAAAACAAACAAGCAAACTAAAAACCTACTTCAGGCTTTTCCAATGGGAAAAAAGATTTATCCTTGTGCCTTTTCCCCCCAACTACAAAAAAGGTGATTAGTTCCAAAAGACACTTAAAAACATCCAGTTTACACCCTACGACAAATCACAGAAGGGACAGCTTTAAATGGACAATTCTGGATATTTGGATATACCTAGCTAATCTGAGTGACGTATTCACATTCTCAAAGTTTTAGTACTAAAAATGTACATCAGTAGTTTATTTAGAAATTACAAGCAAGACATATTATACAACTTCTAGGTAATAATTATCCTTTTCCCTTCCTTATCTAAACCACGACCTTTTCAAATTTGTTATCCAAGTTGTCACAGAAATAT